AGACTCACAGATGCACACACGCACACAACTGTCGTGTAGGCGGAGCTGCCTTCACTAATTGTTGGCCTGTCAAAATGAATCGCTTTCCAGTCGTAGGATATGCCAGCTGCCTTCCAGTGCGGCTGGCAAATCATCTGCGCTTTCCAGCTGGTTCATCAGCTGTTTGCTTGAGGGGCAATGTGGTGAAAGCTCGCACTCAGCCAGTCAGCCACTCTACCTCTCTCACTCTCCCTCAATCGCTGCTAAGGGGATTCACAATGCCATTGTTGCCATTAGTGTCGCTGTTAGTGTAATTCCAATTTCCAATTATAGGTAATTTGTATTAGCTTAGATACCTTTGATTTGTTTTGTTAATTTTTAATTTCGGTATTTACAGAATTCCTTTTTGGGCACAAAGCCTGTGTCATAGACCTAATAAGGATTGACGGCTATTCAGGCTAGAATTGAAGAAAAAAATAAATTGCGCATACGCAGCGTCTGGCCGACGTTGTGAATTATTGATGGCATTTAAAGAACGAAATGATTTATTAAAAGCCTCAGATGAGCTGCTCTCCACGCTGATGTCAATGACGTCAGCAACGGACTTGAACTGAATTAAAGTTGGGAAGTTTTGCCACTGTAATTGCCCATTTGTATGTGTGGGTGTATGTGTGCGTCTGTTACGCTGTGAACTTTGACCTTTGGCCAACTTCATATCAATTGCCGTTGTTGGTAGATCGCCGGCGGACCCCAATTTGAGAGCTTTTTTGCATTTATTTGTCACTCTCGGATGAAAGGTCATTTATTTGGCTGCTTTCTGTTGCCGTTGCCGTTGCCGTTGCTGTTGCCATTGCCGTTTTTGCTTTTGCTTTTGTCTTTTATCTGCTGTACCACCTGTCTTCATTTAGATTTATCATTTTTTGCGACATGTCAATTTGTCATTTTGGCTGACTGACAACCCAAACACACACACACACACACACACACATGCGTGGAGTTATCTGTTCACATAGATCTGTATACAGGATCCCATCAGGCTTATAATCAACGAGGCTATCAGTCAATGGCTCTACGCGCCCATTGCATATTGCTGATTGATTTGAGAAATTGCTTTGATTGATTTGAATCATTAATTCATATGTAATTTGAAAATTCGTTAGCCCTGCTCAAAGTTCAAAGTTGAAAGCCTCGTTCAAATAAAAGCCTTGGCGCTTTATCGGTACTAATTTGAATAAAATTTTAATAAAGAATCAGTTTAGAGGACAGAGCTCAAAGAGAGGGGTTCATTACATAAATCATTTTAGTTTTGGCTTGAGTATGGATTTTCAATATGAAATTTGCCAGATGAAAACAGCTTTGGTTTGGGCCAAGTTGGCAATATTGGCATAATCTATCAGCTGAGTTTAGAGCACTTTAGAAACTTTTGTAATTGTCGGCAAATCAAAGTGAAGAAGAGTTTCTTTTTTGAGCCAACTGTTGATAGCCTTGATAAAATCTGAATTAGCCAACAATTGTTTGGGCCTGGCTCTGGGTCTGGGGTATTATGAATAGAGTTATTTTGCTGTTGTGCAAACTTGTTGCGGGTTATTTGAGGAGCACATCACGAAGCGACAGTCATACGAATAAATACGCTCATTTAGCGTCTTTAAGTGTTGCAGCTGCTCTGGGAACTGCCAGCGAGTCGTACGACTGCCAATTTCGGCTCCGATAGCTCAACGGCAAAGGGCCAAAACTATTTATAATGATAACAATTATGAGTCGTGGCAGCTGCTTCAATTGCGTATGACTCAAGCCCATGATATGAGTCAATATAAACAGATACGTATAAATATTTATAAATGTATATGTTTATATTTCTATTGTGTTTATGCATGGACGTATCTACATCTCTATCTTACTCTTTCTCTTTTTGTCTCTCTCTCACTCTCTTTCTCTCTCATATCGATATTGTCTATATATTTGTATTTCATATCTCGCTTTCTTTCTCGCTCTCTCTCTTTCTAAGCCATCCTCTTTACATCTTTGATTTTGCTTCTTTGTCTCCATATACGACCCTTTACAATTTCTCCTTCTCTAAACCTAGTCTATCTCTATCTCTCTCTCTCTCTCTTTGTCAATCTCTTCCTAAATGTCAACCTCGCATGCTCTCTACTCCTTTTTCTTTATCTCTCTCTCTCTCTTTCTCTCTCTCTCTCTCTCGCTGTCCCTCTCACTCACTCTCTCTCTCTCTCTCTCTCTCTCTCGCTGTCCCTCTCACTCACTCTCTCTCTCTCTTTCTTACTGTTTTTCTATCTCCATCTCTCTTTACCTATCTCTGCTTATTCATCTCATTCTCTCTCTCTCTCTCTCTCTCTCTCTCCATCATTCGCTACACCTCTCTATCATATTTTCTCTCTCTCTTTCTCTACAGCTACTCTCTACAGCTGTTGGCGCTCTTGCCTTGATTTGTTTTCGATGGGCCTTGTCAAGGCCATTCAAACTTTCTTTAAGCCAAAAATCATAATTGGGGCACACATTAACAACAACAACAACAACAGCAGCCAATACAACAACAATAACAACAAACACAACCATCATTTTCGCTGTGCTTGCATAAAGCAGTTAAGCAAAACTTGAAGTCATATTCATTATATATTGCTATTGCCATTGATGATGACGGCGATGAGCAACACTTCCCGAAAAGCACTCGAGAGCTCTGGGCCACTGTGAGCCACTCGAGCGAACCACCTTAGCCGGGCCAGCCGAACTGAGCCGGCAGCAGCGGCAAGTTGTTTGCATTTGATTTCTAACAAAGATTCATGGAAGTACTTTTCACTTTTAATGCTGTCTTGTGTTTTCGGCGTGTTGGGCCTTCGCATTGCTCTATGACTTTTACTTGAACAAATAAATAATGAAGCATATTTTTATTTTTATTATTACGTTCGCTTTTTTTTTCTTTTCTTAAGCCCCAACGAAATTGGAGCAGCGTCAACTCGTAGCGCTCGTTCAATGAATATGTCTGTGCCATCACACTTGATTGATTGTAGTAGCTGCGGCTGCTGCTGTTGCCTCTACCTGCTTCGACTGCACCGGCTTTGATTGCCAATCGAAGGTGTTAGATAACATTACAAGCGCAACAGCAGACACGCACTGCCTAATTATCGTTTATCAGATACAACATATCATATAGTGTATATATATATATATATATATTCACCTCTACTACTTCCACACTGAAAATAAAAATGTTCGCATTGCCATTGACATAACTGCGCCCTGTCAACGGCTCAGCACGCATAATTTATTTAACTGCCGCAAATATGTTAAATATACTTCATTGCATTCAGTTTATTTCCTACATTCGTCGTATGTTTTTCAAGCTCAAGCCAAGCCAGTTCGCATGGGAATCGAGGCGGTCATAGCAGTTGCCTTGTGTGCGCAATGAAATTTGTTTTTGTTTTGTGATTGGGCATCTTCTGACGACATTTCGTGGACAGAGGCAACTAAGCTCCGATTTGGGTGCGCATGACTGGGAGGCACTGTAAATACAATTAAGCTTTGCAGATGTTTGATATGGCCAAATCCTCAAGGAGAGATGCTGCGCGCTGCCCCAGCTGGGTGTGCACGACTCGAAGATACTATCTCTCCCATGATGAGCAGTTGAAGCTTTCAATGTTAGACAATGTCAAAAGTGTCTTCATATCTTCTTTGAGAGCAGAAATGTGTGAAGAAATTTAGTTGAGTACGACCTAGAAATACCCTGTAACCCTGTAGGGATGAAGTCCGAACTAATATTCCAGTCTGCTCTAGTTGGGTGTGCACGACTTGTACTTTCACTGAATTCAATGTTTTTTCTGTTTATGAATATGAAACAAGAAATTTGATATAAACCAAAGCAAAATTTTGGGCTATGGCAGCAGTGATGAATGTGAAGGGGCTCGATGATTCAAAAAATTATGCAACATCCCAATTTGTATGCGAATTTGATGTTAGTCCAAGAAGAGATTCAATAAAAGTCTTTAAAATCTGATAGAAATCATTTATAATAACGAGAATCATATTGATTTCAAACTCAAACCAAATCACTAGTTAAAAGCAAACTCAGATTACCATGAATAAATCTTGAACAAGTTCTTTAAAGATCGAGAAGTTCTTTGAGGGCATTTGATAGCTGAAGAGTCTACTCTAATTAAAAGGCTTCAATTGATATAGGATAATGGGAGAAGTTGGTTCTCAAGCTAGTCAAGAGTTCGTTTGGCACATACACATTATGAGCTCTACGATTTACAGGGTATGCAAATTAAAGACTTGCAGCAAAGACAAGTCAAATGAAATTGTTGCGTTACTGGGAAACGATCTCGGAGCAATTTATATCATTCAATAATTTACAGGTTCTCAGAAAGCTGCTATAATTTGAAATTTCGGCAGAAACACTCCAACATGAATAAAGATTTGATTACTTGAGTATATTTATGCGGAGACAGCTGAGAGACATGGGCAAACTTTTTCGATACGCAGCCACAGCAAAGTTTTTCGCCAACTTTGGCAGTCGTCGTCGTATAGCTCCTGGACAGGTGTCACGTCGCGACGGAGCCTAGGGCGGTGCAGGAGGCGGCGTAGGGCAGGACACAGCAATACATGCCAAAAAGTTTGCTCATGTAATTAATTAATTTACTTTGACACTGAATCGATGGCATCAAATCCAATCAGGACTTGGCCAAGAAATTAATTGACAAACAAAGGAAATTAATGGAAATATAAATAAGAGGGAAATTTGTAAGGTCTAATGCTTGAATAGACCTAAAGATCAATAGAAGAAGCATAATAAACTTCCTTTTGACTGCCTTCAATAAACTTTAAATGATCTTCTAACGCCAAACTAATATACCCTCGTTATAAGCGAGAATAGCAAAGCGAAAGGTCTATTAGTTTAGGCTATACTGGGGAACCAATAGACTCTACTTTTACTCCATGAGCGAGTATATCAATGCGAAATGCGCATCGAATATTAGATAGAAACGAAATTTAGATTAGGTTTTTTGTTTTTGCGCTATTTTCGATTTACGACAAGGTTAGATCGCAAATGCTTTCATTTATTTGGTGTATGGCTCGATCCACTTCCACTCCTCCCAGACGACGCAGGCCTGCTCCGGCTCCATGAAGGCGTAGTTGTCGGGGCACTGAATGTAGTCGGCCTTCTCCTGGCCCTCCGGGCAGACCCAGTAGTGCGTGGGATCGGAGATGTCACGGAACTTGCGCGAGTGATCCTGAACGACGTCGCAGTTGGGCTCCGCATAGATGTCTTGGCCGTTGTAGGCCGTGGCCAGCGTGACAAAGATGCCCAGCAGCAGGAAGCTCAGAACGGTGGCTGAAACAAAGAGACGAAATGGACTCTTCACTCTTCACTCTTGACAAACACCAAAGGGCATCGACTTCTAACCTGAATGCATTTTGTTGCGTCTCTCGAATGGAAATGTTGCATTGGCTGGCATTCTGCAAGCATATTTATACTGTTCCCGTGCGTGCGCTCGATGGCAGTGTTCGATTTCGGGTGCCTCGGTTGCCTGGGTTGGGCTCCTTATCTGGGACAGTTGTCTCCATGCGAAGCAAGCAAAAGCACTTTCTGCAAATTACCTTAGATTTTCTAGCTGTTTCACTAGCTATTTTTAGAGCTTATCATCTGATATGGACACATCAGATGTCGCTTGTGCAATCTCTGATGCCAGCACGCTCCCCATTCCCGGCCGCCTTCCCCTGCTCAAGTCGCCAGCATGTAATGGAATTTACGCTAAGCGTAGCCACTTAATCGATAATGAGCAACTGCCACTGCCACTGCCCTAGCGCCTGCCGTGCAGCCGCCCCCCCCCGCGCACCTGTCGCACCCGTAGCACTTGCAACCTGTGCAATCATCTTCGTCATCGTCTTTAACGAAATGCTCAAAATTCAAGCAAACTACAGTCTTAATTGACTATACACAACGCTCATTAAGTGAAGCCCGGCGGGGCGGTCGAGTCATTGTCTAGCTCTCTCTCTCTCTCTCTCTTTCTCTCTGTCTTTCACTCTCTTTCTTTCTGTCTGCTGAAGCTGGGCATTTGACTTCTGCCTTCTCCCCTATCGCAGGGGGAGAAGCTGCAATCATTCTCCCTCTCTCTCTCTCTTTCTATCTCTCTCTTAGCTGATCACTGCCTGCCCTGCCCTGCCCTGCCCTTCTGTTAGCCCTTTCCTAGCTACGCAACTCCCATTAAATGAACCCAAACGCAGTGGGACTCAAGTCATCCTCTCTCCATCTCTCTCTTTCTCTCTCTGTCTCACACACTCCATTGGCACCTGCTAGCCGCTTAGTTCAATGCGGAAACTGTAATTGCTTTTTAAGCATTTTGTAATAGATTTTTGGCCTTTTTTCAGTGACTTGTTGGCCTTTTTTTTTCGTTTATTCATCAATGTGTTAACTGTTTTTGGCTCAGATTATTTCGTGATAGTTTTGCTGTTGCTTTTTGCCAGCCACACTCGGGCATCTATGTTGGTCAAGTGTGCGGCACGAAGCGCTTTAGGGGGTCATCCACGGCACACAAAAGCCACACACAAAGCGCTAAACAGTTAACAAAAGATGTAACATATCAGCCGAAATAAATATGCGTATGTATAAATAAATGTATGTTAAATATGTAATTTGCGAAAAATAAATAAATACGAGCGGAGCAGCGGAAACGTTTCTTGGCCAGTTTTGCAATTTAAATGAATCCACATTACAGCAAGAGCATAATTATATTGTTCAACAGTTTGATTGGGTTATGCTGGCCCGGGCCTTTGTGCAACCAGAGACTATGCTAATGGCATCGCTGCCGGGCTCAATGGCCATTAAACAAAGCAGCTCGTCAATCAATATGCATGGAGCCCAACAAAATATGAAATACAACAGCAACAAACAGTCAAAAGACGATTTTATTTTTTGCTATTTAAGCCAAATAGTCTTTTGATAGGGGCGCTGGGGCTGAGGTATTCATTTCCTATTAAAAAGTATAATGTAAATAGTAGAGCTAACTTCTAAATAGATTTTATATTATTTAAGGGAAAATCTCGGGAAATGTATTTAAGCAGAGCAATGTAAAGTTTATTGATTAACTATGAGTAACAGTAGGAAATGGGAAGGAGAAACAGACCAGAGTTTCTTGTTAAAGTATAAATTACAAATTGAAGAAGAAGAAGCATGAGCTGCAGCAGAAGGATGAGATGTGATTGTGACCCTTGCTGCTACTCCAACTCCAATTACTTCTCCTGCTGCCATTGCTTCGCTTTCAGTCCTCCTCAGTTTTCTACTGCTCGTAAACTATAACTCAATTACACTTTATATACATATTTATATACATAGTTACATATATATTAGACATCTTTAATAAATATTAATTATCATATGTTATTGTAGTTCATCTCACTAAATTGTTAGTTTTCATTTAGTTAGTTTTTTATAGCTCATTAAACTAAAATCTAAATGTAATATATGTAAAACAGCTTATATTTTTCTCCAATTGAATAAAACAAAGTCTATAAAGATAATTTTTGATATACAATGGAATATATCAATAGAATAAGATGATTTTGAGAATAAATATATATTCTAAATTTTTAAATACTCAAAATAATATTACATATATACATATACATAGATGTAATTGAACCCATTCAAAGTTCAAGTAAAATAATAAATTGATTGCATGTGAAGTTTGTTTCATCTGGTAAAATGGCTATCAGTAATATTTCAATTAATTAAGTTTGTACTTTCTTTCGGCTGTTGAACAGAAAACCTTGAAACCTCAATCAAAATAATTTCAAAATATAATCAAATTTCTTGCTTTTCCTGCACTTTCTATTATTTTTCTGTCCGCTTTGTTTTTGCTTTTGTTGTTTTTCTTTGCAGGCAGAAATCAAATCAATTAGTTGAGTAACTAACATTATATATAGGGACACGCCTCTCACTCTCACTATCTATCTCTCTCTCTATCTCTCTCTCTCTCTCTCTCTCTCTCTCTCTCTATCGTTATTTCTGCTGATTACGTTATCATGTCGAGATAATAATCAACGAATTCGCTTGTTCTCAATTCTGTTCGCATTTATTTTGTCTTTTATGAGTAGATTCGGGTTGGGACTCCATATAAAGGTCGAAGTACCGCATGCTTCAGTCACATAACTCCTAGAAACCTTCTCAACCAACCATGAAAGCCGGTGGGTATAAAGTCTCTTCTGATTATATATATTGATATATTGATACAGTGACGTCTCGGTTCTTCGTATTTTAGTCTTTGTCCTGTGCGCCGTTTTGGCCGCTTTTGTTGTTGCTGTGAATGGTGATGCCGGCCGTTCGGCCTGCAAGGATGAGTCGGAAATCGGCCAGACATACCCCCATCACTTCGACCCGGCCAAGTACTGGCTCTGCGAGACGCTCGGCACTGCTGCCACCGAGGTGGACTGCCCCAAGGGACTAGCCTACATGCACCTGCTGAAGGAGTGCATTCCCTGGGCCAGCTACATCTGGAAGAAGCCCGAGTTCCCACCAACTGTTGCCTAATTCACGATCCCAACAACCCCAAAATAAACAATTGTAAAATGCATTAACCAAACGATCCGATTTGACTCGTGCCACCGGGCGTATGCGCAATTCCCATTCAGCATACGCACAGTGGGCGCACTTTTTGGCAATTTGGCGATTTGGCGATTCGTGGCTTGATGTCGCCACTGAACTTGCCCCACACGCTCACACACACACACAGACACACGCACGCATCCAGCGGGTGGGCGACTGTGTCAAGTTTGCCCCGCAGGCATCTCTATCCATGCAAAAATCTTCAAAGCAAAAAATCCCCTTTACTTATTGCTATTACAAATACCCTGTGCACAAAATGAGAGATCGTAGAGTATATTGGTCAGGCGCCAGCTTGTGTGACGTCCCAGAAGATGCAGACTTCAATGAGAATATATTCTTGATTTCTGTTACTCCGATGATACCCTGTATATCTTGCATTTGTGGCAGAAGGAGAGCTGTGCAAGTTTCCCACTCCTTTGGAGATTGGATTCGTCATCGTTAGCGATAATTGACGGATTTAGTGAGGATATATATTTTCAGACTCAATTTTACATTTTGCAATCTTTCGAAAAATAGATATACCAAAATTGGTGCATACTGTATCGCCTAGTGTGGCACCTCATGGCACTATTTAGCAAAGCATGAGCTTGAGTGTTTGTAGTCAATAGTAAGATAGCCCAAAGTAACTCACAGAGTATATCCTAGTCTGGCATTGTCGTCAGTCCAACTTTCATTCCTCTACAAATTAATGAAATGAAATCTCAATGTAGGCAAAGTTTTAAATACAAATTGAGTTATGCTTATAGTTGTTTACAGGGTATCAGCAAGTCTGTCAGCCACTTATCTCTAATATTCAAAGCCAACTAGCTTGTTGCCCGCTGTTGTTGTTGTTGTTGTTGCGGTATGCTCGAATGTAGATGCTGGCAGCGTGGAGTGATTCGCATTTTGAAGAGTGCATTTGTGGAGTTACATAAAATACGAAATTGAAAACATGTTGCCCGCTCATTGTGTTTGGATTGAAGCATTGCTTTTTGGCTTTGGCGTTGGCTTCGGCTTTGGCGTTAGCTGCGGCAGAGGCAGAGGCAGCGTGGAAGCGACGCCAAGCGACGCGTTGTGATGCGACGCTGTCTTTTGTCTTTGGCCCATTGCTTTATGATATTCGTTCAGCTTTGCCGGCTAACGTATAAAAGTGCATGCGACGCAGCAGACCGCAGAGTAGTTTGCAATCGACAATCGGGCGAGCAGCATACCATCTTCAACAACAGCAGCAGCAACAGCCAAATCATACTTGTTGCCATCTGAAACGGTTAGTGGGGCCAAAGGACAGCTCAGGATGGCCAAGTGTGTTGTTTATCGAAAAAGTGAAACCGAGTGCCAAGCCGAGTCTAACTGAAAATGAAGCCCAACAGCAGTCGGACCCACCGGAAGTGGATTAAAATGGGATATATTGGTTCTGTGCAAGTGTTTGTGACAGCCAATAGTGTGTGTGTGAGAGAGAGAGAGAGAGAGAGAGAGAGAGAGAGAGAGAGAGAGAG